CCCTTAATTAGCAAGACAAAAGTTAAGCAATTGGTCTACAAGGTTACACTTACCTACTGTTTCCAAGGTTGACTAGGAACATTAAAAATTTAAAGGCCTGATAGCCTTTGAAGTATTAACAAACATTGGAGATAGATGACCATTAATGAATAAAACGAGATATAAAATAATCGAACACTGGATTTACAAGAATGCGCGGGTATTTTGTTAATATACAGGGAAATCTTGGTATTCGATAAACTTCGACTGATCAAATGACATTTGTCAATTTGACATATGAAACGTAGAGCCTGGTACATATGTGAGTTAGTTGAAGTTCCCACACTATTTTAGTACAGCGAATATTCGAACACTTCAAGAAGTGAGTTCAGGTTTAAAACAATATACTCAAATTTTTCGTGAGAACATGAGAAGCATTTCTGATAAAAAAACAAGCCTTAAACAATGAAATATAAGCATATACGCTATAATTGACACATAAAACTTTCGTCTCTAGAACTAACAGTAAGATGGGAATCTTTGGTTTAAGAATCTGGATATCTGAAAATTTAATAAATCTCTCACGCAGTATTCCAAGGTCAATCCATGAAGTTTTGTACAGTACGTTCACGCCAAACTGTGTGGATTATTTCTGAGCTAACTATTAAATTTACAAATGTGATTGCCATCTATTCCTCAAATAAAGTTATTATGGGTGTGGTTTTTGTAATTTGTTTTTACCATATGTTAACTGTGAATATCTATTTCGTCATTAATAAACGTAATTTATCCACAGAAAATATCACTAATTCAATATCATACAATATCGATAGAGAATAATCCGCTTATATTCGAATAATATCAACATTGTGAGTAAATTTAGAATATTACTATATCTCATTGTTACATGAGGATGATTTGAAACTAAGTTGATTAGAGTAAAAAAATTTTATACCTGAGGCGGCATCATAAGCACTTTCAGCCAGACTAGAAAATGCCCAACAAATGTTAGCGGCAACTCTTGGTTCAGTGGACAATCCTTCAACTAATCCGGTCAACAAAGGAACCAAATATGCTTCGTGTAGAGCAACTTCTGGAAGGGTTTCACAAACACGTCCGATAGTCCATGCAACTGTATCGCGAACAGCTGGTGACTCGTCACGCAACAATTCGATTATTACAGGCATAGCAGACTCTACTAGGGGCTAAAAAAAAACGAAAATCCCTGATCAACTATTGCCAAGGAAGTAAAATACATGTAACTTGTTCTTAAGATGAGTATTTTTTATGTCGGCCATAAGTCACACAATTTCCGAATCCAAAAGGATTCGGACTTAAAACTTTTTGATAAGAAGTCGAGTAACTTAACAGCAATTAATATCAATAGACATTCAATAATCAAACAGATTGACGGTTAGTTATGTTATCATAAAAGTTTATCAAAGAGGAACGCATGAAAAATATCTACAGCCAACAGAAGTATAACATGTATAGAATGTAAACATAAACAAGATTGAAAAGTTTGTTTTCATTAATAGGAAGAAACAAGTACCCATTAACTGACGTACATTTCATGCAAAGTTCCGAAAACTTGATAAGTTACTGGATCCACATAACGAGGCAGCACATCATTTACAATGACGACAGAACTGACCACAATATCATAGCAGTTATGTTACGTGGTGAACTACATTATGTAGTTTTAGATCGGCGAAACACGCTGAAGCATGTTTACGCACTGTGTTAACCTTAGAAAACCCATTAGTGTCTGACGACTCGACTTACCGTCACAAAACCAGCCCTGGAAATCAGGGAAAAAATAATTCTTCCAGGTGTAAAACACTTTGGAATTAATATCGCTTACTAACCAACGCAATCACTCCACTCTTACGCGAACCAAAAGATACAACAGCGAAAGACAAATTCAATAAGAACACGAACTAGCGGTTAAACGACACGATATGCTAACATTGATATCAATGGGTACATACAACTATGGAGATGAACTTGACTCGGAGAACGTCGAAAATCTGGATCGTGCGAATTCTAAGCGTCAGTTTTTTGACACCATGACATTCTGATGAATTAGCAATTGGACATATCGATTCAAACATGATCATTTAAAAATGGCCAAGCGATAACTTGGTTAAAGGTTATTCGAACAAAATAGGCAACTTGAGTACAAAGACACCTGAAGACAATAAAGCACATGGGGATAACCAATCACAATTAAAGGCCATCAAAACAAAATAACTTAAGACTGGTTGAATAACTAAGAAACTCAGTTTTACTTGAAGTAGGCACTTACGGTGTTGTCCAGAATGACAACGAAAGTTCCGCAATTGAACCATCTAGTTTAAAGTACTTAACAACACCAAAAACACAAAGTGATTAGTGAAATCCTAATAGTTAGATTTTATGTATAAGTTGAATACGGAAATGTAACAAGTGAACAAGCTAAATGTTCAGTTACCCTATTTTGGATTTTATTGCCGGGGATGAGGAAAACAGTACATTGGCGCTATAATATGAGACAATCCGTCTTTTAACGACATAACTTTCTTAAATTATATATTTCTAAAGGTTTCTATATACAAACTAAGGTGAGTTGGTTTTCTAAATCGCTTAACAAAATTAAACTAGGTAATGACTACATTCGAGTTTTAATATAAAAGATTCGTACACAATGCTTTAAAAAATTGCAAGCAAACCAACTTAAATGACAAGACTATGACTAAAAAGAAATGAACCTTGAGTGCTGCAGGATCTGGACCCTCAAGAATACTGCCGAAGCTCATGACGGCAGCATCTCTGTAGCGCCAGTCAGGTTTCTTAATATTCTCCTTTACAAATGGTATGACAAGATTGACAATCGGATCTTCGCAACATTGTGCCAGTAGCATTAAACACACACCAGAGGCTTTACTTGGATTCCACTCGTCGTCATCCATTGATTCATCCTGCTGGGCAAGAATTTCCATCAGGATTGGTACAATAAATTGCAGGGCTCCCTTGGCATAAAACATGCTAGAAACCGCTGGAGGTTGACCTTTCTCAAAGCACTCGGCAACGTCAATAGCTAAGTCGATCTCTTCATCACAAACTGTAGACCAGAACTCGATTCCCTGAAGAGCGACTTCCGGTACAGAATCTTTCATAGCTCCCAACGTAATCTAGCAATGTTGAAAACATTTTGGAAAAAGCTGATGAAATGATTGTTATGACAGTAGATACACCAAGCGAAATCAATTCGAAATCAAAACATGTAGAACCAAGCTAGAAATGGACTTAAAGTGGTATGTTCTAGACAACAAAACAAAACTACCACTAAAGTCCGTAAACATGTTTAAGAAACTAGGGGATGATAGCAACTTTGTTATCTAACCATATCCTGAACTCAAACGCATTACCAGGGCCTTGAAACTAACTACATTATGCTGACTGGACAGCAGTAGATAGTGAAGTTCCAACCTATTAAGTAGCAGTTAAAAGATAAATCCTTATTCGTTTAATCCTTAACGAATCGCTGCACTTGAGTTGGAGTTTAAAATACTTCTTAGATTCCAGTGCGTTTGAGAGTTTAATATTTAGGTGATTGGTTAACGGTCTTTAAGGTGAATAATTCCCGAAATCTAAATATTACTTTGGTAGATAAATTGTATATAGTAAATAGTAAATACTAGCTACGTCAGAAGAGAGAGATTACGAACACAATCTTCGATATACCAAGGAATATTTCTATTTCCGAAAGATAGAAATACGAAATCACTTTTGTTACGATGACAGTATAGCTTTATCATCAGTCAACTTTAAGTACATAGAAACTATAATAAAACACGAGCTGAACCATAAATCTTAGTTTTATAATTATTTCAAAACTAATGGGACCGTGACTGAGTGGTTAAGATCTTTGACTTCTAACCAATAGGTCGTGAATTTAAGCTTCGATCCATTTTTGCTTGGGCAACCAAGAAGTATCACTAGCTCTCAAACTACAGTTTAGAGCTAAGTATATGAGACTGCACTTGCTGGATCAACTATACGATGGGTGAAACTTTTTAACAGAATATGTAAATTTAATTTACGTGAAGCTCGTAGTGAGAAACCAAAGTCGTGAGAAGATACGCTAACAAGAGTAGATATTGATAGACGATAAGGTGATCATTCAATATAGCATCAGCACTGCAACGACTAAGACAGGTCCACCAACCGAGAAAAAAGTTGACTACGTGGATAAACATGGGCGATAGTAGGCTGCTTTTGTTGTTTATGCAATCTCAGAACACTAGTTTGTGACTTTAGAATTTGATATAGACTGTGGTTACGTGTGATCAAACGAATACGGCTTGCATAAGTAAGAATTCAACTTTTATGTTCATTAGTTAAAAACATAGGGCATGGTTCTTAGTTAAGTTATAAACATTAACTTACGGCAAATAACGCTTGTTTCATATACGGCTCCATATAACTATAGTAAAGGGACATTATTTTTACTAAACACTGAAGAGCTGCAACACGGATTTGAGGATTTGGCGACTGAGTTGATTCGCAAACAACTTGCATAATGTAGTTCCGCTCATTCTAAGATAAAATTAAATAATCAAGCACCAAATTACATCAACATCGAAATTGTGCTTTGTAAACTCCAAAGAATTCAGAAGTGCATTTGTCGCTGCTAAACGTACGCTATCACTGAAACAAGAGTTATAGAGCTTAAATTCACATACCTTGGTTCTTCTTTTTTCATACCGCAAACTATGGCAGTTAAAATAGCGTTTGACTGGCTAGCTAAAATACAAGGATCCTGTCGGAACTATACAAATGCACTAGTCTTACTATATCTTGGCAAATGTATCCTATTCCTTCTAATGTTGAACGCTTGCATGCTTCTGTTTTGTTTGGTGTGATCACGTTTTCCACCAATCGCTCCATCAGATCTGGCCACTGAAGTGCAGGAATTTCTGCACATGCAATGTAAGCCACACATTGTGCAGCAGAACTATGTGTCGTAGTTTCTGTTCCTAAGGCGGCAAGACACTGAAGGAAGGTCATAAATATTGCGGGGACGTACGTTTTTTTTATATACTCCCGTGACTCCACTGGAGCCTGTAACCACCGTTGTTGATAAAGTGTTTTGAGCGCCGGGTCTTTGGAGTATAGGGCGTTTTTTAGCTGAATGCCAGCTTGCATACGTACAGGAGGAGAACACTCAACGTTAACCAAAACATCACTGAGTTGTCTGAGCAAACCAAAAAGGTCTACTTTGGCTGCTTCCTCGAGAAAGTGCTGAGCCGCTTCGAGCTCCGACTTTTCTAAGAGATTCAGAAAACAATAGCTTCCATTGTACGTCTAGTCTTACCTAAGGAAAGACTTTTTTCCAAAACGGAAAACAACCCAACGTCCAGAGACATGTTAGGAGAAGAGCGTGTCCCCGAGATTTGAAAACCAGCCTCTCAAGTAGCCGCGCTATGTTCCGATTTTCCAATGTTAGGTCAATTCAAACGACTCCATAATGGAATGGTTTACTGGGAGGATAATGCAAAATCAAACCCCAACGTTCCTAAGCAATAAAAGTGGACTACATCTGCCAGTATAATGACTTCAGGACGAAACCATATACCCAAGGAAGACCTCACTACATTTGATAATTATACTAATCAGTCATTAAGTTTTCTCATCTTAGACAGTCCAGGTGGTTGGACACAGCACAACAGGGCCTTAGTCCTATTGATTTTTGTACGTTTAACTGCAATTAATCTAAAGTGACACAATGCAAAGACCTGGGTATGTGGACAAGTTGAAGTGAGTGGAATCTTAGCTAATTTGGATGAAATTCTATTTCGAGTCCTAGAGAATCTATCTTACTAAATCTCTGTGTTGTTACACTTATATCTCTGATTCAGTCCTCAGTAGTCAGGATAGGCCAATCGGCCTATATTAATCCTTGAAATTTGTGGTTCTGTAAAGACCCGATCTGCCTTTGAATATATCAACCGAAGGCTCTTATATTACGTATTCTGTTGGAGAATCTGATTATCTCACTACTCAATGCGAGGAATGGAAGTCCTAAAAGCCTTTGGTGCAGCAACCCTCTAATTACTCGTAGGTCTTAGGTCGTTGTTCATTTTGACTCCTAGATCCTTATTGTCCATTACTTTAGGTAACACCATCCCGCTAATTATGTAGTTATATGAATCGTCTTAGTTATTCGTATAACTACGCTTTTGTTAAAATAGGCTTCTAACGACCAATTGAATCTGCTGGAGCTATTAAAATCCCAGGATGAATATTGTCAAGACCACTTGACTTATCTGGTTTAAGATGTCGAAGCAACCGCAGTGCAGCTCCTTTCTTAATAATCACAGGATCCATCAACAAAGCCGTTATCACGACTAATTGTTGGCGCTTCGCCACCGTCGATGGAAAACACCCTACTAAAATTTCTGATAAGTCTCCGTCTTTTGTAATCATCATTTTTTGCCAATATCAACGAATTGTCTTGCACCAGAAGAGGCGGGATTCTATCAGTTCTCTGAGTTTGTCTCTTCATATGCGAAAATAACCTTAACGGATGGTTTTTACAATTCCTAACCAATTGTTTCTCGGATAAATGCCCATCTTCTATGACAAACGCTCATGTTAGGTTAAATACATCACGATTTATTAATCACTATTCAAATAAACATTCACACCACTTCATAGTTGACATTTGGTTTAATTGGTTTCGGAATTATTTCCTTGGAAGAGATTCAAACAAGTAAAGTTTCTAAATAGTACATGTCTATGAACGTCATAAAGTTCATTATGAAATGGTCTTCGAGTCAAGACTTAACCGTTAAATGTGGACGTTTTTTGAAATTTTCATCAGAATACCTCCAAAAGTAGTTTATCTTTGTCATTTAAAGTGAAAAATGAAATGCCTTCACCTTTACATGAAACTAAGTAGAACTATCGAAGTCAGAGGAAACGCCTTGCCATCAAACTGATCAAAATAGGTGTTTCAAGGTGACCAATGCTAGATTGTATCGGAAGGCATCTTTGTCGTGTTTAGTGAGGGATTTAAGACTTAAGTGAACAAGCCAGCTTACTTTTTTCTACAAACCATTCATGATGTATCAGAACCAAGACTGAAGGACTGTTAATCCTGGAACCATTTTGTGGACCATTAGTACAATATTTAGTTGCTCATTTTATAATTAATAAACAATTGAGTTGCTTCGTTCTTATTTTCTGTTTGTTGTAAGGTTTCATTCGATTCAGAAATTAAAGTTGTGGGTCCAGTTATTTATAATTTATTGCCAGTCGTATATTTAAAGCTTTCCAAGTTCACAACCACTTTCGTATCTACTCGCGCATAACAATGTTTACATATGTCATCATGTGACACTTTATAGTATGCCTTTACACAAATTACCTGTGCTCGAAAAAATTTAGCGGAGACGTGGCTGATGACTTCGTAACAACTTAACGTGGTTGATTAATAATTGGCCGGAAACAATATGGTAGTGTCGAAACATTGTAGCCCAAGTGTTTGTTAAATCCATCATTTTTCGTAGGCATTATATTTCTTGCCATCCGATATTAAATGTTGAAATTGTGTGGCCAAAAATAGAACCTCGTGCCCTAGCTGCTAAGTACTAGGATACACTCGTGGAATTCCAAAGTTAACCAAATCACACCCTCAACATTCCAAACGTAAACTAACAGTAACCTATCGAATCAAGACTGAGGGGGCACATGTGATTTCTAGACTCAGTAAACTAGCACCAGATAGGCTTGAAGCTGATAGAGCTGGATTCAACTATATCCCCAATTTGGATTTTGTTTGTCCCTCTACTAGCCAATGTGTACTCCCCCCAATACATGCTCTCAAAGAAAAAATTAAGGCAATTGACGACCGTGAGGGAATTACAGGTCCCCCAACCACCAAACTGTACCAGATAGGTACCCAATACATCATATCCAAGATTTAAAAACGGGTTACAGGGTGTGAACGTATTTATCAAAATTGGCCTGTTCGCGTCCATTTGCATGCCATTCGGCCTGAGGAATTCGCTACAAACATCTCAAAGGTTTATGTACAACCTAATTCGCAATATGCCTTCTCACAAGAGTGTATAGACGACTTGCAAATTACCATGCAGGATTTCAAATCACACGAAAAACACATGAGAGCAGCTAGATAAAAATGGAATGAATATATATCCCAGGAGAGACTACATAGATCAGAGGAGAGGTAGACACCATTAGACAGTAACACATAACAATTTCTCCAACACAACCTTAAAGTTTTCTAGGATCAGTTAACTCTTATCGTAGAATCATACGTATTTGTACAAAACTAATGAGACCACTGACAGATTCCCTTAAGAGAAAACTGTAAGATTTTAAACTGACTTCCAAGGCTGATGAGGCTATTAAAATACTAAAAGATAAAATTGCTCAATTATCTAGGTTAACGTATCCGAATTCTCATTACCCACTCGCTTTGACAGTAGATGCTTCAGAGAAGCAGTAGGTGGTATTGTTGTTCAACTGGTCGAAAACGAATGGTAACAGACTGGGTTCTTCTCAAAAAGACCAGCTGCATCATAGACTAGATATGCTACCTTCTGACGAGAAATTCTCTCAATCTACTTAACCATTAGGCGTTAACGGCACATACTGGAAGGCAGGGAGTTCATGGTTTACGCAGATCATAAACCACTAACCAATGCATTAAAATCTGAAGCCGACAAATATTCTCCTTTAGAGACCCGACACCTTGACTATATATAGCTAATCACCAGCGATATCCGACATGCGAAAAGTCAGAACAATCATTCAGCAGATGCATCATCTCAATCAGAAACGAACGGAATCGGACAATAAACCGTAAATTTTCAGTTATCTATTTCCATGCAATGAGAAATTCACGAGGTTTCCGATAGCCATACGAATAACCAAAATCATAGCTGAAACAGTAGCCAAAGCTTTCATGAAGAACTGAGTAACCTGTTCCGGTACGCCTGTTACAATAATGACCGATATAGAAGCCGACTTTGCATCTGTGCTATTCAACAATTTGTCAAAACTTCTAGATTCTAAAAGAATACATTGCACAGCTTATGGTCCATAGGCTAATAGAATGGCAGAGCGTTTCTGTTGTCAGTTAAAACTGCCCTAATATCACGCTTAAATCCATAGCATTCTTAGAATTAGTTATCTTACGAATAAGATTAGCTGTCGATACTGTTTCACAGTATTCTGCAGCAGAATTAGTCTTTGGAATGACGTCAAGGTGATTTTATCAATCCTTGTATTGATGCTATAACTTGTGAAACTGTGTGCCCTGTTTATTGTATAACGCAACGATACCGCCAATCAGAGAGCAGCAGATTATCGATCGAACCAGTGATGCATAAAACACGTGAGAGCAGCCTAGAGTCCTTATTGGTCTCGCTTCCTGTCTAGCCCAGCCAGTTGAGTCCTGAACACAAATCTCAGTCCCTGCAATATGAATTATCTATTACAAACATACGGGGTTTATATTACCAATCAAGCAGACCACAACGTACCATAAAATAAAAAACAATATTTGTACAATATTTGGCCAAATGTGGCTGTGAATGAAGGAGGTAGTGATTAATAGACAGGCCATAACTCAAGAATGGTAAATCGTATAATAATAGTTCATAGGTCAAAATAAAACTCATAATAAGGGGGACATGAATATGAATAGTTTAGTTACATAACAATTATACGATAAAAATATACTCACAGTATTGGTTCATAAATGGATCCCAAAAATTACCATTCATTATTCTTATGGGGATATAACAATTGAATGTGAAAGGCTTGATTTAACAGGTTACGTGGACCAGTTAAGTGACCAAATGTCATAACTTAGACCGGTTAGTACTCGTGAACAGTCACGAGTGACAAATGTACTCATGGACATAGGCAATCGCATGCACATCTAGATAAGGTGTTACAACGTAAGAGCAACACTTGCCCTCTATTCGGAGGTTCATATAAAGTCATCCCAAGAAAATCTAAATATTTCGTGATCAGAAACAGGGAAACACTAACTCAGTAAGTATCGATATGCTTAAATCATTTTATCTGGATAATGAACCATCGTATGCTTTATTAGGCCGTTAAAATTACGAAATAACTACAGAATTGACGAGCAGCAACAAGAACTCCTCACATGTGAACAAAACGCTTGGTTAGCAGAATCGATCATTCAGCCGAAGATATCTACAGTTCTGGCTAAATCCATAAATTTGACCAAATATGTATTAAATTTTGGTTTGTTGAGTTTTTGTGCGTGTACTTAAATAATGAAAACAACAAGGAAAGCGTTTTTACTTATTTTTTACCATTCTTTCCAAAAAAAGATAAACATAGTATCAAACTCGCAGTAGTT